TAAACCTCCGCTGCCTTGCGGCCATACCCTTTTTTGGAAAAGGCTTCAGGAGTCAACCTCGAGGAAAAATCCGGAGTTGGAGCCCCTAAGGCAGTTCGTCGTTGACGTCGACCTCGTTCTGGCAGCTCCTGCGACGTTGCTGGAACCATGTGTATTGGCATTTGCCTTTCTATTGGATAATTTCAGCAACGTGGAGAGGGGGGACCTGCTGCATGGGTAACAGCTTCTCCTCCATATCTACCTACCCAGGCTTTGCGCCCTGGAGAGGACACTCCAGCTTCGCCTCACAGCGTCGAACCAACACGGGAAGCGACAGTCTACCGGTTTTAAGTCTTCTGCTCGATTGGCGAAGAGTGTGACGCCAGGGGTTGCTTCCGACGGTGGGAGGGGTCATCGCGCCCCACTGGGCAGCTACCGCCCGCCTCAAGCTGGGCAAACCCCAGCCAATAAGGTGCTGCCTCGCCACGGTCCGTTAGCCTCACTGGGTGCGTGGGGTTTAGGGTGAAAACCGACAAGCGGCCCGACAACTTTGCACCAAGCAATACCAAGCCAAACAAGAAAATATAAACTGCCCTAAAGCTGGGCACATGGAATGTCAGGACACTGACACCAGGTTTCTCTGACGACCTGCAAGAAATCAATGACGCCCGAAAAACAGCAATCATCGATAGGGAGCTGAGCAAGCTGCAGATGGATATTGTTGCTCTCCAAGAGACCAGGCTCCCGGGATCAGGATCTGTGAGAGAGAGGACCTTCTCTTTCTTCTGGCAAGGAAAACCTCCAGATGAGACCAGAGAACATGGTGTGGGATTTGCCGTCAGGAATGCACTGTTGGGACACATTATGCCACCGATGGGGGAAACCGAACGAATTCTGTCTCTGCAACTGCACTCCCAAACAGGACCAGTCAATGTAATTAGTGCATATGCACCAACCCTGACTTCTCCAGCAGAGGCAAAGGAAAAATTCTACGATGACCTCAACAGAGTCATAGCGAGAATCCCTGTAATGGAGCCACTGTTCATCCTCGGCGACTTTAACGCCAGAGTGGGTGCCGAGCACAACATTTGGCCCACTTGCCTGGGTCAATTCGGCATAGGGAGGATGAATGAGAACGGGCAACGTCTGCTAGAACTCTGCTGCCTTCATGGTCTTTGTGTCACCAACACGTTCTTCGGCACAAAGCCTCAACACCGAGTATCTTGGAGACACCCCAGATCCATGCACTAGCACCAGCTTGACCTGATTCTTACCAGGCGTGCAAGTCTACCCAGCGTCAAGATTACGCGTAGCTACCAGAGTGCTGTCTGTGACACCGACCACTCCCTGGTATGTAGCAGGGTCAAGATGCAACCAAAGAAGATTCATCACTCGAAAAAGGCGGGCAGATCTCGCATCGACACCACCAAGACCCGCAACCAGGACAAGGTGGAAGATTTTGCACGCATGCTCGAGGAAGCTCTCCCTGGCCCAGCTGGGGTCACTGCCTGTAAAAGATGGGAGCACTTCAGAGACGCTGTGTTCAACGCTGCCATTTCCACCTTTGGCAAGAAGACCAGCAGGTCGGCAGACTGGTTCGAGGCTCAATCGGAAGAGATGGCACCTGTCATCGAAGAGAAGAGAAACGCATTGGCAGCCTACAAAGCCTGCCCAAGTCAGTGCAACTTACAGATCCTTCGCGCCGTCCGCTGCAAAGTGCAGCAGAATGCCAGGCGATGTGCCAACAACTATTGGCTCCAGCTCTGCTCCCAGATACAGACTGCAGCGGATACAGGCAATGTTAGGGGAATGTATGACGGCATCAAGCAGGCCCTCGGCCCAATTCAGAGGAAGACCGCTCCTCTGAAATCTGCCACTGGCGAGGTGATTCAGGACCAGACACTGCAGCTGAAGCGCTGGGTCGAGCACTACTCTGAGCTATACGCCAGGGACAATGTGGTCACCGAAGATGCCCTGAGCGCCATTGAGTGTCTGCCTGTGTTAATGGAGCTCGACAGTGAACCGACCCTGGAAGAACTCAGCGATGCCCTAGACTCCCTTGCTTCTGGTAAAGCTCCTGGCAAAGATGGCATTCCTGCTGAGACCTTGAAGTGCTGCAGAGGTAGCCTGCTCATGGAGCTGCATGAAATTCTCTGCCTCTGCTGGGAAGAAGGAGAGGTGCCACAGGACATGAGGGATGCCAACATCGTCACACTGTATAAGAATAAAGGTGACAGGGGCGACTGCAATAACTACCGTGGAATCTCCCTCCTCAGTATTGTCGGAAAGCTGTTTGCTCGAGTCGCATTGAAGAGGCTCCAAGTACTTGCAGAGAGAGTCTATCCAGAATCACAATGCGGATTCAGAGATGGCAGGTCCACCATCGACATAGTCTTTTCCCTCAGACAACTGCAGGAGAAATGCAGGGAACAGAAGCAGCCACTCTTCGTAGCCTTCATAGATCTGACGAAGGCCTTCGACCTCGTCAGCAGGGATGGCCTGTTCAAGATCCTCCCCAAGATCGGATGCCCACCCAGGCTCCTCAGCATCATCAGATCTTTCCATGAGAACATGAGGGGCACCGTGGTCTTTGATGGCCTAACATCAGACGCCTTTGACATCCAAAGTGGAGTAAAGCAGGGCTGCGTACTGGCTCCAACCCTATTCGGGATTTTCTTCGCAGTTATGCTGCGGCACGCCTTCGGATCTGTCACGGAAGGCATTTACCTCCGGACCAGGTCGGATGGAAAGCTCTTTAACCTCGCCAGGCTGAGAGCCAAGACGAAGGTTCGGCTGAGGTGTCTGCGCGACTTCCTTTTTGCTGACGACGCAGCATCACTGCCCACTCAGCTGAAGACCTCCAACGGCTCATAACCCGCTTCAGCGAGGCCTCTCAAGCTTTCGGACTCACCATCAGTCTGAAGAAAACACAAGTCCTGGGACAAGGAGTGGACTCCCCACCTGACATCGGCATCTCTGATTCCAAACTGGAAGTCGTTCACGACTTCGTGTACCTGGGCTCCACAATCTCTGACTCCCTCTCTCTTGATACGGAGCTAAACAAACGCATCGGTAAGGCATCTACTACCATGTCCAGACTGACAAAGAGAGTGTGGACCAACAATAGGCTAACTGAGTATACTAAGATTCAGGTTTACAGAGCCTGTGTCCTGAGCACTCTCCTTTATGGCAGTGAGTCTTGGACACTCCGCGCCCGTCAGGAAAGACAGCTGAATGCCTACCACATGCGCTGCCTTCGACACATCTTGGACATCACCTGGCAGGACAAGGTGACAAACAACAACGTCTTGGGGAGAGCAAGAATCACCAGCATGTACACAATGCTGAAACAGAGACGAATGCGCTGGCTCGGGCACGTTGTGCAAATGGGCGACGGCAGGATCCCCAAGGATCTCCTGTACGGAGAGCTGATGCAGGGAAAGCGTCCAACAGGCAAGCCCCAGCTACGGTACAAAGACGTATGCAAGAGGGACCTGAAAGCCATGGACGTCGATCTAGCTATATGGGAGACACAGGCTGCAGACCGTTCAGCCTGGAGGCAGTCTGTTCAAAGAGGTCTCTCCAAGTTCGAGGAGTCACTTGCCAAGGAATCGGAGGCAAAGAGACAGAGAAGGAAAGCCGGTAGCCAGGAAGACAGACCAGAATCGGACTTCGTTTGTGCTCGGTGTGGGAAGGACTGCCACTCTCGGATTGGCCTCATCAGTCACACCAGACGCTGCACCAGAATTGACAACTAGGGCGCAACTCCATAGTCTCCCGAGACTGAAGGATGCCTACTACATATACATTAATTATAGCAGGAAGACACTGCTATACATTTTGCATTTTTCTAGCCTAACTTGTTCAATCTCGGCTCATAGCAAATAGAACATACAACAAGCACTATTATTGTTCCGAGGCCTGTACCAAAAGAACAATTGTGCTTTTTCATTACAAGAGGTTGATAAGAGGCTAATTTATTCATAAGTTATTTATAAATGTATGTTTTTGTAATTTTAAGTTTATATAAAATTACTTTTAATTTTGCACCATTACTGTAACAATTACTGCATGCCACATTATTTACAACTAATTCTTGCACAAGGGTAGGACATTTTAGGCTGGTGTTGTACAACAACCTAGTCTAATTTATTGTGCTAACCTGGTGTAAGGGTAAGAATTTTACACTTGTCTAGAGTTGAACATATATTATAACTTAGCAAGTATATATTTTTATGCAGTATTCATGACAACCCGAGTTGTGTTGTCAACATGATATTACCATAACTATAGTCATAATTTAACTATAATCATTTCACCTTTGAGTGTTAACCTGGGTCTTTGTACCAACCAATAGTGATAATGATGGGCTAACTTGAGGAATTCCAGCATTGATGCAGGCTTACCACTCAAATTATAGAGTGTATGATTATATAGTGTATTTTTTAAATGATAAGTAGCTCTAGTTCGGAAACTAGTGGCTCTACTAATTTAAGTGCTAGAAATAGTCCAAGTCAAAGCCCATACGACTAGCAAGTCCTTCCAAGATGTCTACTGCCAAAAATGTAAAAGCGACCCTCACTGGCATGAAGGGTAACTTAATACGACAGATTAAAAAATGTGAGGACTTAAGTAATCAAACTCCAGTTAATTATGCAGCACTGGAAAACTATTATAAGGTTGCACAGATCAAATATCAGCATGTGCTGCAACAAATAATAAAATATCAAGATGTCCTCAATCTAACGAGTATCACTGAAGAGACAATGAACGATGTAATACAAGAAAACTCAGATTACGAAGATGCAATGCTTGCAAAGTTACAACACTTTGACGATATAATAACCACACATAAGGCCAATACAATTATGGCAGCCACAGCTTCCCAAAACCAGACACCACCAAAAGTCAAATTGCCATCACTCAGTCTCCCAACTTTTTCTGGTACAGAGGATGAGAGTTAGGACAACTTCTGGAACAAATTTGTCGATTCTTTGGATTCTAATGGCAATGTAGCAAAGATGACAAAATTTACATATTTGCAAAGTGTCTTAAAGGATGAAGCGTTACAGGTGGTCTGTAATCTGACCTTCACAGATGATAGTTATGACAATGCCATACAGCTTCTTAAGGATAATTATGCTAAGCCAGAAAGGACTATCAGACTTCTAACCCAGAAGCTGTTGGACATTAACCCTCCAACTAGTACAGCAGACTCACCTCCAAGCCTTTAGATTGGAGCTTGAGTCCTTGCTCAAGGCACGTAAAAATAAAGTAAATCTAGATGAGTCAGACTGGATAATCCAAGTCCATATGAAACGCAAATTACCCAGTGACGTACTGGATAAGTTGTTTGTCTTGTATAGCAAATCTTCTCTGACTGTAAAGGAGATTACAGAAGGGTTACACTCCATCATAGAACGACAAAGAGATAGCCCAGATGGAAAAATTACATCTAAACCTTCGTCTACTACTAATAGTAAACAACAGAGCACAAACAGTACTCCAAACAAATCTAAAACAACTTCCCTCTCCCCAAAGTGGAAACAAGGCAGTGTGGGCACATATGCAGTTGGTCCCTCCAAATCTACAGTTAACACGTCACCCAAATCGGTGACTCAAGATGCTGTTAACGTCTGGAAACCATGTGTGTTCTGTGGACAACCACATTCCATATATTATTGCAAACTTTACACCGATCGTGCTACACGCATAAAACGACTCAAGGAGTTACGTAAATGTACAAAGTGTATAAGGGCACATAATCCTGACACCTGTACAACTCAAATACCCACCTGCAATAGGTGCCATAAGGGTCAACACCATACAGCACTTTGTGGGGACTCAAGTACAAGGTCTGCCAAACCACAGGAGGAGGAAGGATCTACCACTTCAGTACAGCTTTGTACTGTGTTACCTGACATAAGTGTCGTCTCAACAAGGTCTGATCATAAATCAGCTCTCCCTACTGCACAATTAATCATTAAAAATGGATAGTCCAAAGCCGTAATAATAACGTAACCAAGGGAACGCCCATTGCTTTAAGAGAATTTGTTCTTTGACAATTTGAGTAACGTAGAATACGTTTGGGTTAATATACTTTCCTGTAAGCAGCTACGGTAGTCTCGAGGAGCCTAGCCATCAGCCAGATAAGAATTAGAGTATTGTCTGTCGTAATTAACGGTCAGTGGGCCGGGTAATTGACGTGTTTCAGGAAGTCAAAGTAATTAATCTCGATCCTTGTTTGATCGACTCACACGAAGGCTACATTGTTCCATTAACGTAACGTCGTTATCTGCCCGGAAGTACCGGCATTGGATTGACTCGTGAGAGGAGTAACGTCATTTAGAATAACGTAAACGTGGGGCTAATTACTGTTATTAGCCGCCTGAATTGGTCTGAGTATGGAAGGCTCAGACGGAATTCATACCTTAATGTAAATTGCTGAGCCAGTGTGAAAGGTTGCGTATTTTAATTGTTTAATTATTGATCTTGAGGATAGTAATTAATTACTCTAAAGGTAATCACGAGTGATTACCGTTCTCTTAGCACTTTGGACATTGCAAATCAGAGTTTACCATCGCTGAGTGATTAGTAACCGATTAACGTAAATTAACGTAACTAGTAAAGAGATTAATCAGCTGTCTGGAAGTACAGGGATTAATGGGATTTTCTCACTGAATGCTCGACGGGTAGAGTGTTGTTTGATTTTCGCGTTACTAGTGACAGTTGTAAGAGTTGTTAATTTAACGTAAATGTTACCTTGTTATCAACGTAAATGTTATTGTGTTATTAACGTAAATCAATTGTTATTGATTGTTGATCGTCCGTGGGACGGAGTGTTAACGTAAGGATTAATTTGTGGAAGGGTGCTGGAGTTGCCAGTGAACCCATCAGTTATTGTTGTCATTGAAAGACTACTGATTTGATTGCATTGCAACCGCTGTTGCAGGAGTAGACTGCACTGAGGCGTAGAACAGTTAGGAGGTTACTGGAGACGTATTTCAGAACCTACTGTGTCATTTGTTGTAATTGTGATTATAGATCTGTTAGTTCTTGTTTCTTGTTGATTCCTCTGTGGTCACGCTTATGTTCGAGTTAGTTCATTATGCAGTCCGAGGGGCTGGTGTCTAGCTGTCATTGATAGTGTCACAGGAAGGATTTCGAGTAACGTCATTGACATTTCCTTTGTTTTGTTGTAGTAGTTAGTACTTTATTGAATAAACTAAGTTGTTATGGTTAACACTGTCTTTTCGTTACACCCCCACACATTATTATTGTTATGCAAATGTTCTTCACACTCGACTAAAATTGAGACTAATTTTCTGAGCTTTGGATCAAATATACGGCACCACACAACAATAAATTATTGTTGTGAGAGCCCGTGACCTACTCGTTAGATTCGCTTCGGCGATTGGCGAAGGTCGGCGGCCTAAGTGGGGGGGATTTCAATTTTCATTGGGGTCTCGGCGTTTGCTCGCGCCTAGTCAATTGTTCATACATGGTCCCAAAGTGAGGAATGAGCTGGTTACTACACTGGTGTGTTAGCTAAGCAAGTCCTTCCTCAGGCGACCTAGTTGAATATCACGACAGGAATAAAGGTTAAAGAATAAAGAAAGTTCTTAGAAATTTTCCGAGCTAAAATTCCTTATACCAATTTTAATTTATTCCAAAACTTCTCACAGTTAATAAAAACTAAACTCTCACACAAAGTAGCTCCCCATTTTTACCCTAATCCACCCTCCTGCCCCTAACCCACCCTCCTACCTTAAACTTACCTTAAACTCCCTTCCTGCATGGGCCACCCTCCTGCTATGGCCCATCCTCTTGCTCTAAATTTTCCCCCTGCTACCCTCCCTTTCCATATTTTTCCCTACTCACTACCCATTCCACCATATACCTCTCCCTCGGGGCTGTAAATAGGTTCTCCCTCTCATACATGTATTTTCTCTCCCTCTATCCTCCTCAATTAAAAAATAAAATGCACCCTGCTTCTCCTCTGCTTCTTCCAGGGTGACTCTCTCTCTCTCTGACTCTTTTCCTATCCTGTTTCCTTCCTTCGTACTCCCTTTCCATGTCTCTTCCCTCTTTATTCAGTCTCATCTTCCATCTTCCTGTCTCTTCTCCCTTCACCCTGGTTTTCCTTCCCCCTCACCTCGACTCTCTCCTTCTCATACTGCCTCTTATAACTCTTGCTAGCTCTTCTCTCCTCCCTTCACCCCCCTTTCTCCTCTCCTCCTGCCTCTCACACCTTCTACCTTCAGCTAAAGTTAACTGCTTCACCCCGACTATGTGAAGACCTGTCGCCTGGCAGCTGGGGTGGACAGCGCTTCGAATTCGTAGTCCTGAGGTTCCGGGTTCGATTCCCGGTGAAGGCGGAGACAAATGGGCTAAATGTTTCTTTCACCCTGATGGCGCTGTTACCTAGCAGTAAATAGGTACCTGGGAGTTAGACAGCTGCTACGGGCTGCTTCCCCGGTGGGGGGGGGGGTGTAACAGAAAGGAGGCCTGGTCGAGGACCGGGCCGCGGGGACGCTAAGGCTGGAAATCATCTCAAGATAACCTCAAGATAACCCCAGTCCAGTGTCAAACCTCTGCTCTTAGGAGACATTGTCCCTCCATTATTCCTCTTTTATAAATTTTTTACCAGGGTGTGAAACGTTCACTACCCATTATAAAGAGGTCCATTACCCTTAGTAAAACGGTAGCTACTCTTTGGAAAACGTCCACTTTCCTGTGGAAAACGTTCCACTTTCCTGTGTAAAACGTTCACTTTCCTGTGTAAAACGTTCACTTTCCTGTGTAAAACTTTCACTTTCCTGTGTAAAAACTTTAACTTTCCTGTGTAAAACGTGCTAAATCCTGTACAAAACATTTATTCTCTGCAACCAGGGAAAAAAAGATCTAATCCCTATGTCATAAAATCCTCCAGCCGTGTCAGGCCTATTGTCAGATCCAACACTTTGTGCTAAATCCTCAACCACTCATCAAATCCATCTCCTTGTGTTAAATCCTCAACCATTCGTCAGATCCAACACCTTGTGCTAAATCCTCAACCACTCATCAAATCCATCTCCTTGTGCTAAATCCTCAACAACCACTCATCAAATCCATCACCTTGTGTTAAATCCTCAACAACTCATCAGCTCCTTCAGTCTATGACAAGCTATTCAGTCGGTACGAACACCTCTAGCAAGAACCATATCTGTCAGTGACAAGTTCTTCACTCTTCATCAAGTGCATCATTCATTTCTTAATCCTTAAGTGTCTCTAAGATCTTGACGTAAATTTCGGAATGACACAGGATGGGGTTATTCAGCCGACCGGTGTCACATCTTCCAGAAGATGTTGAATCACTATGTTGGTGACATCTAATGAAGTCAATGTCAAATTCAATGCCTGACGGTTGTGTCAAATCTCTAAGATATTATCATCTGTTCCAGCTGGTGTCCAATCCTTCTATATCCACCAGCTATTAATCCTGTATTCAGTGTCATATCCTACAAATGTTGACATACATGGGTTGATGGGGTTCTGGGAGTTCCCAGAAACCCTGGGAACCCTGGTTGATGGGGTTCTGGGAGTTCTTCTACTCCCCAACATGTTCTACTCCCCTACATGTCCTACATCTACTCCCCTACATGTTCTAAAGCTGATTTCAAAACTTTCAGTTAATGTCCAGTACTCTAGCTGTTGTCATAAACGATTTCAGGTGTCAAAAGCCGTCGTGACCATAAACATTTTTAGGTGTCAATAGCCGTTGTCATATAGAGCTTCATGTGTGTGTGTAGCCCCCAACACAGCTTTACTCTCTGTGGCGTCGCCAAGTGCCCTCAGCTTCCCCCCTCTCTCTCTCTCCATGACGATAAAAAAGGATTTTTTATCTCTCCCTTTCGTTGTGGGTCATGGCTGTCACCTTTTGTGTGTGTGTGTGTGTTCCCCTTTATCGTTGCCGCTGTCAGCCAAGAGTACCCCAGTCACAAACAGAGGGGTGCCTCGCTGAGCCTCCCTCCCTCTCCATATGAGGAGTGGGATAAGGCCAGTAGCCTTTACTGCAGCCTTAACCAGACGTCACCTGCAGCCTTTACTAAGGTGCAGTGACGCCCGCCTGCGGCGGCAAGCACCACTCAGGTCGCAGCGTCACGTCACGTGATCTCCTGTCGCTTCCTCATTGGTCACGGCGGCCAGCGCATAGCCAATCATCT